GACTTTGGGGCTTTAGGGTTTCGGGTTGGCGGTGCGAGTCCCGGCTTTTCTCTTCCACTCCAAAGCCTCTGCTAACCGTGCGCAGACAGAACCTACTCTGGGTTGAGTTTTTAGGGTTTAGGGTTTAGGGGTTTAGGGGTTTAGGGTTTAGGGTTTAGGGTTTAGGGTTTAGGGTTCTTGTTAAGGGATTTAGGGTTTAGGGTTTAGGGTTTAGGGTTAAGGGATTTAATTTAAGTTACCATAATAAGGATCTATAGTAAATAATATGGTTTCCTTATTATGGTAACTTAAATTAAATCCCTTAACAAGAACCCAGTACTTGGAGGATCATGGGACCTAGCAACTGCGTAACTCCAAGGGTCTAGGGTTTATGGTTTAGGGTTTAGGGTTAAGGGTCTAGGGTTTAGGGTTTAGGGTTTAGGGTTTAGGGAACTATGCTTGTATAGCTACTTATACCCCCCATTTGAGGTATTTAGAACTTATAGCCACGTTTGCTAAGCCCCGTAGCCCCACTTTATAGATCCCTGTAAGGGTCCCTTTAAGGACCCCGAACCCTGAGCCCCTCAACCCAAAGCCCTATAAGCCCTAAACCCTGAATCCTGAAATCTAAACTCTAAACCTTAAACCCTAAACCCTAAGCCTTAAACCCCGAACCTTTAAAGGATCTCTTTTAGGGATCCCTTTTCAAAGGATCCTCCAAGTAGCCCTCAGCAAGTGGCGGCATGCTGCCCAGCTCATGCTGCAGCCGACCTCCGGGGGAGGGATTGGGGCTTAAGGGTTCAGGGTTTAAAGTTTAGGGTTTCGGGTCTAGGGTGCAGGAGTTAGGGGTTCAGGGTTTAGGGTTTCGGGTTTCGGTTCAGGGTTCAGGGTTTAGGGTTTAGGGTTTAGGGTTTAGGGTCTAGAGTCGAGGGTTCATGGTTTCGTGTTCAGGGTCTAGGGTTTAGGGTCGAGGGTTTAGGATTCAGGGTCTAGGGTTTAGGGTCTAGGGTCTAGGGTTTAGGGTTTAGTGTTCAGGGTTTAGGGTTTAGGGTTTCGGGTCTAGGGTTCAGGGTCGAGGGTTTAGGGTTTAGGGTTTAGGGTTTCGGGTCTAGGGTGCAGGATTTAGTGTTTAGGGTTTAGGGTTTAGGGTTTGGGGTTTGGGGTTTGGGGTTCAAGGTTCAAGGTTCAGGGTGCAAGGCTTAACACCTTATGTAGGGGCGTTAAGAATTAGAATGGGGTTCTAGGGTATACTCAACTATAACAAAAAATAAGGAGCCCCAAAAAGGGTATTGGTAATTATTTAGGCTCCTCCATTCATGGCATGGGGTTTTGAAGTTTTAGGGTTTAGGGCATGGGGTTAACCTTGCCTTGACGTTGCCTTGAGTGTCTTCGCATCTATTTAGTAATCTGCGCGTTTGATTATAGTGTGCTTCTTCGTTGATTCTGGATACATGAGGCTCTGAGGCCAATGACCCTAAACCTTAAACCCGGAAATATCGGGAGCATCGCACTGAGCTGAGATGCTGGACTAGATTCTTGCTACCAGCACCGGTCATGTCCAAAACCTAAGTGTCATCAACATCACAGGAGAACACTTGATCTGTCAGACGGTATGCCGACATGTGACATGCGCGTTGCTACTTCCCGCTTAGCTGATCTTCATCGTGTCCGGTGTCCCGGAACATTGTCTGCTTACTCGCTGCTGTTCAAGATCCTATTCTTCGTCTGTCCTCGCATTTGTCTGGTAGTCGTTTGACACCGAACTGCCTGGCACATCGGGGAGTTTCACAAGATGGAGACCCCAACGTAGAATCCTCATAGATAGGCCTTTGTGGTCATTGGCCGTTCCTGCTTGTCTTGGTGCTTGCTAGTGCTCGTCGGCCAATTCCTGCTGGCCTCTGTTTAAACCCTAAACCCTAAACCCTAAACCCTAAACCCTAAACCCATTATGGTTTGGCCCCGAGGTCCTTGATCTGCTTAGCCGGAAATAACGGCCTTAAACCCCGGGAACCCTGGGCCCTAAATCCTAACGCTAGGTCCGAGGCCCTAAACCCTAAACCCTAAACCCCAAACCCTAAACCAAAATCTCTAGCTCTTTCTTGGGTTTTGAAAAGCTCTGGCTCTGACTTCGAGCTCCAAGTGCTTTAGGGTTTAGGGGTTTAGGGTTTAGGGTTTAGGGTTTAGGGTTTAGGGTTTAGGGGTTTAGGGTTTAGGGTTTAGGGTTTAGGTTCTCCAAAGCACCGAAACCCCAAACTTGGCTGTTGCTAAGGAGAGCGATTTTAAGTTAAACCTCAAACTCCGAAGTCAGCTCTTCCGCAAGGTTTAGGGTTTAGGGTTTAGGGTTTAGGGTTGAAGTCAGTTCTTCCGGAAGAGCCCAGTAACCCCGGAAGGGTCCTCCAAGGAAGACCTCTGATCTAGGAAGATTCCTCTATGCAGACCGGAACAAAGGAAGGGATGCGGGTAGTTCTCTAAGCCGGGGTCCCTCCCGAAAGGGATCTATAGTAAACCCCACGTTTAAAACGTTGGAAACCGGATCCAGGGCAAACAGGACTGGGATTCCCCATACATAACTGCTAGGGATTGAGGCTATGATTGGGCTTCCGACTTTGGGCTTCTACTATAGAAGGGTTTCTATAAAAGCTTCTATAAGGGTACTCTAAAGGTTTCTACTTGGGTAGTTCTCTACATCATTAGGGTCCCATGTAAGGATCCTGTTTATAAGGGTGCCGTACTAGACTGGGACCCATAAAGCGACCCTGAGTAGAGACGCCCGCATATAGCGTTTAGAGTTTAGGGCCCGACCTTTTTCTTCTAGATTGTAGCAAGGAAATGGCAATGGGGTCGCTGGAGTGGCTTTCCCTAAGATTGAGGCTTTGGTTTTTCGATGTTTGTTGCTGACCCTTGTCCAACTGCAGATACAAATGAAATTCCGAGTTCGGGGGGCCTTGGTCTGGATCTAGGGTTTAGGGTTTAGGGTTTCCACACTAGTAGCTCACAAACACCACGGAGTTTAGGCTTCCGGGCTTCACAAACTTATCCTGTCTTCGCTCGCATTCACAGCTTTTGGCTCTTTGTGCCACAGCTTCGCGATTCTTCGCGGCTTGCGCAAAACCCCCGCAGCCCAAGCCCTATACGACGATGCTTAAACTCGCACCATCAGACAGCCCGTAGTGCGCGCGCATCATGGCAATGAGCTCCCGGTGCCCCACCATGACAACCTTGCTGCTCAGCGCTGCTGCCATAGCCTCCACATCCGCAAAGGAGACATCGTGGATCTTGTACAAAAAGACGGTGCTTCCCGGAAGCAAGCTGTTGAGATGCTTGGCAATGTCCTCCGGATGGTCCTGAGAAAACCACCGCTTTGTTTCAGTGAATGTTACGATGTCTTTGGCTACCACCGGAGGAAGAGCTGGCTGTACCGGAGAGAAGATACCCCGGATCGCCGTGTGTGCGTACGCGGCCACTGTCCTTTCCATGGCAGGCTCCTGGTTGTAGCTGTCCCAATGGACATAGGCGCACATGTCGAGCTTCTCGGCGGCTTCCACTGTCAGGTTCCTCAGGATCGCTTGCTTGGTGTTGGAGGATGGGTGCAGGAAGCCATAGCCCGAGGGCCCCATCAAAAAGCTGTCGGCGTGTCCGGTGCGGTTTGCCGCAGCGAAGAACCATCGGAGCACTGTGGGCGCGAACTCCATGAGGCGGTTTGAAATCGTCCAGCCCACCGGAGGGCCTTAACAAATCGGACATGGCTTTGGGGTAACGAACAGGGACTACAAGAAGATATACGGGGGCTATATTAGGAACTATGAGGGGAAACCCTAAAGCCTAAACCCTAAAGCCAAAACCCTAAACTCTAAACCCGAAAGCCTAAAGCCTCAACCCTAAAGCCTAAACCCAAAGCTCTAAACCCTAAACCCTAAACCCTAAACCCGAAAGCCTAAACTCAGCTGTCTGCCACCGGAGGGCACAAAGCCTTTTGAGCGCGCGGAGAGCTCCCGAAGTCCCTGTCTGTCGCACACAAAGCCAAGCGCTCCTCCATGCGAGGCCTCAAGGGCTCTTATCGGATTTGGGGTTAAAAACGGAATTGGGGTTCTTATCGGATTTAGGGTTCAAAACGGCCTCAAGGGCTCTTATGGGATTTAGGGTTCTTATCGGATTTAGGCTTTAAAACGGGATTGGGGTTCTTATCGGATTTGGGGTTAAAAACGGATTTAGGGTTCTTATCGGATTTGGGGTTCAAAACGGCCTCAAGGGCTCTTATCGGATTTAGGGTTATAAACGGACTTAGGGTCATAAACGGATTTGGGGTTCTTATCGGATTCAGGGTCCTAAACGGACTTAGGGTTAAAAACGGATTTGGGGTCATAAACGGATTTGGGGTTCTTATCGGATTTAGGGTTCCTATCGGATTTAGGGTTAAAAACGGACTTAGGGTCATAAACGGATTTGGGGTTCTTATCGGATTCAGGGTCCTAGACGGACTTAGGGTTAAAAACGGATTT